TAGCAAAACTCGGCGGAAAACAAGAAAGTCTAGCTAAACATATACTGTATTCAAATGTATACGCGAGCTGTATTCGTGAATACAGTAACGGAAAGTTGCAAAAAAAAAAGGTCTTCAGCTGTTTAAAAACAGTAAGCGAATCAATTAATACGATAGACTCCTAATATAACTCAACAAACTCAATTATAACATGCAAAATTTGTATTTTCAGTTATAGAAAAGATTCTCGGCCGAAACCCCCCCAAAAACAGAGGAATCTTCAGAGATTCAATCCATCCTTTCTTTTTTTAGTAGTATCTTTACTAAAATATTTTTTAGTGGTATCTTTACAAATAGATTTATATATTGCAATTATATAATTACATTGAATACAATTAAATACATACAATACATTGAATACATGAAGCATAGTAGGTCATCTATAATGCAAAAACATATGAATACATACTGCAGATACATTTGAATACTATATGCATCTGAACACATAAATTATATTAATTAAAAAATATATATGAATACATTCTACAATACATTGAATACATATATTCTTTTGAAGATTTCTCAAAATTATACTACCTCTGTGTCTGTTCTCTTTCCCCTCTTTCTCTCACATTTGTTCAGATCCGAAGAGATGGTATAATTTTGCTCTATAGAAGGTTTAGGTTAAAGATTGGCTGTGGAGGCAGCGATGGCAGTGGTAACGGTGATGAAGAAGAAGAGAGAAAAAATGGAGTTACAGATTTAAGTAAGGAGCGAGTGTACTCCGGCAAGTAACTTCGACTAATCGGTTCTTTTCCTTTTCATACGAACAATCATCATGTACGGACATTGACATTTGTTGTCGTATATTATTATACCTACAAACACGCTAACAGACACAGTAGTAATCTCTAGCTTGAGGTGTAAATACGTGGAATTGAAGTGAATTTGGAAACGCTGGGTAATATGTATTCGTGGTTGTATTCGTGGAGAAGAGACTAAGAGAGAGATGGTGGAGAGAGATCATGGTTTTTGAAGTTGTATACAGAAAGTAGGAGAGAGAAAAATATTACCCAGCGTATTTAATGGTTAAACGGTAGGAAGTGATCATAAATGCATATCTATATCTAATTAAAAGGAAAGAAGTCAGCCATAAGATTTTGCCTAGTGTCAACATGCATAAATTGCCATGTAGCAATTTTAGGACAAATTAGTTACAGTTTAGGTAATTAGTTACAATTTAGGTAAAACTAATTTCTCTTTTTAAAAAGCCGATTTTATTTTACATTGTGAAGAAGTTACCGCCACATATAACTCTATTCTTTTTTAATTTTTAAATACTGCTATATTTTAAACTAAAAAGGAACCCACACGCACTCATATCCCAATTCCCATAATTTGCACGATCTCAGTAATTGTAGGAAAACAAAGCGTTATATAACTGACGGGATCCATATAACTGTTCTCTAAGATCCTCTTCAACTCTACATTTTCTTTTCCGATTAATCCTCTGCTACGCCGAGATTCTGCCTCCTTTACGGGTACCTTTCAGCCACAAAGAGACTCAGAGATTTATTGCACGTATCTTTTTATTTTTGTTGAGATTAACATTATCAATAATAATACTAGCATGTTTTTGTCTTGACGTTGTGGAAGTGTGTCTTATCTTAAATCAAAACTTAAAAGAATCTCATAATTTAAGTATGTGTTTGAACCCCACAATCGTTTAACCAAAACCTAAAATCGCTAAATCCAAGGGTGAGAAGAAATCAATAAGGGAGAGAGTTTTACCGAGTGTGATAAAGATTTGAAGGTATAAAGTTTCATGCTTACGTCACGTATCTCTGTATAAAATTCTTTTTTTTTCTTTTCATTTTTTCCATAGCAAGCCTTATATTGGGTTTCCCCCTTTTTGGGATTCAGTTGTCGGAGCCGGAGCAACAATCTATTGGATCACAGGAACTTCACAGAACATTTTTTTCTCTTTCTTCTGGTATGGCCAAAATTAGAATTGCATCACAAATCAGTATTTGAATTGTAATTATCTTCTTTCTATCAATAAGGAATAGATTTTTTGAGAGATTAAAGAAAATATTTTGAAAGTTGTAATCTCATCAATTCTCAAAAGTTCTGTGCCCATTTGCCTCTGTTTCCATCTATTGTTCGTTGCTACTGTTGCTATTGATGATACATAATATGGTCTGTCTAGATTTCTTTCAGTTTTCCTTTGCGTAATATGCGTTTAAATGCAAAATTTCAACTTCAAGACTCATATTGTTTTTTGGAATAATGTGATAACTTCAAATCAATATACAATTTAAAGGTTGCTATGTCGTATAGTCATATTTTATAGTAATTTGCAAGTTGTGAAATCCTCAAGTGCAGAAAAATGGGGTGCTACATTTACCCCAGTAGGACGTGCTTGCGCAAAACAAGCAGGCGGAAAAAAGGTGCCTATATCAATGAGGAATAATCTTTGGAATCCACTAATCATGAGAGCTATTGCTCAAGTTTTTTATCATAAATATATGTGCCTAAATTAAGTTTTTGCATTTGATTCAGAGGAAAAATTTACCAATCAAAGGGTTTAATTATTGAGTCTGAAAGAGCCTATTTGGCCATGTAGCCTATTTATGGTCTTACGTTGTTGTGATGATAAAGCAACAATCTTATTTTTAATAGTCTACATGTTGAAGCAAATGAGTTCCTGTTGCAGATACATATAATATTGTACAACCAATTGTTATCCGCGGCTCTCATATTCTGTAGCCTCAATGTTACAACAAAGTTATGTCAAAATTAGGTAGGTAAGTATATCAACAAGCTCATTATGGGGATTGTCCAGAATTAGATTTCCAGCAACAGTACAAGACTTTCTTAATTGTGAAAATATTGTACATCTCTCACTGATATTTACTTCTTTCGTTATCTACTTCAGGATATGAGGCGGCAGTCAAATGAAACTAGGGAAACAATAGTAATACTTACTGTACCACAACTAGAGGCTATAGTGAGGTTGAGGTGTTGCTTTGCTTTTGGATTGAGGCCCTTTTATGGGGAATGTAAGAATATCCTTTTTTTGATTATCTATGTTGATTTTATTTTGAATTTGAGACAAATTTTATAGTCGTATCTTTACATAAGTGCATAAGATAGAAGTTCCTTTTAATGTATTTGCCTTGAAATTTTTGTGTTCAAGTAATCCAATACATCGTTGTCTTTTGCTAACAAATAGAGAACTTTTTATTGCCTTATAGTTGGGTAAGATTGTTTTTTTGCCTTTGTTGATACCTGGTTTTACAGCATGACATACCCTTATTAGCATTTTTTTATTAGATACTAAATTTAGCAGCACACGCTAGGGTGACCAATATTAAAGAGGAAAGAGGAACAAATATTTTACCCATCAATTCATCTAATAGTTTGCAATATACATCTGTTTCTACAGGTAGCAATAACTTACCTTAAGTATGCAACATGGAACTTTGTTCCTCAACTGTAAAGGAATAAGTAGCTTCTAATGATGGTGTTTTCGATTGGAACAATATGATGGCTGCTATATCAGTAATTGACACATAATCTTGATGAGAATTAATGTTTTTATTGTAGATTTTGCTAACAAGGATTAGGTATTTTTAGGATTTTTGTTATCGATATGATTCTTCATTTGTATCATCGACCAACATGATTGATTTGTTCATGTGCTCATATACTTCTGATCCAAAGTACAAAACAACTGAAGGTGATGTCTTAATTATTGTGATTATACATATTTTTAACTGTTTTTTTGTTTTTGCTGATCACAACTTGAGACAATTTTTTTTTTGTATTCTCAGGTGGACTAATGCTTTTAAAGCCAAGTAATGGTGTAGCATTACCCCAGTATGATGTAGCATCTCTTGATAATTGATGGTCCCTATCAATAATTTTATAGAGAAAACCCGATTAAATTCATCTATTTGTTTTTTTGGTTTAATTCCTCTGAATGTGGTTGCAAAATGTAGTCTGCAATTTATTTCTGTTTCTAATACTCCCCCCCCCCCCTCTT